AATCTCTTATAGACTTACAAATAAGTGAACTATCTAAAGAGAAAGAATATAAACAGCATTTAAAGAGAATTTCTACAATTAATATAAAAGACTCTATTCTGATTTATTCAGATGACTCAAAAAATGAGAATTTAAATAGATTAGATGCAGACATTGCTTATACTGAAGATAATATTAATTTTATCTCAGATTTCTGAAATTTAGACTATGAATCTGAAGTCTTTGATACTGAACTATTTGTAATAGTGAAAGCTTTCAAACTTATTGAAATAAAATCTCATAAAAGAGAAAATAGTTTGAAAGAGGTATAAATATTCTCTGATAGTCAAGCTGCTTTAAAAAGACTTAGAAATAGTCAGATTTATAATGATTAAATGAATCTTGAACTGATCTTAAACTTTATTTTAAAAATTTAAAAGAGAAGAATATTAAAGCTGATAATTCATCTACACTGAGTTTCTGCTTATATAAATATTCATGATAATGAATTGACTGATTCAGCTGTAAAAAAAAATTCAGAATTAAGCAGATCTGTTCAAAAAATTATATTCTGATCTTCTATAAAGAGAAAAATAAAAAAATCTTGTTTAGATAAGTGAAATAAAAGCTGGCAGAAACAAAAGAAGAGTATACATTATTCAAGATTTGAAACAAAACCTAAGTGAAAATCTTGTTCAATTAAATGTAAAAAGAAAATATTCTCATCTATAATACAGCTGAAATTAGAACATAGCTATTTCAAATCTTATATACAAAGATTTGATGATAGATTTGATTCAATAGAATGCTCATTCTGTAATACAAATGAGAATTCTAAGTATATTGTAATACACTGTGCATTATATAATAGTCTCAGAGTCAGATTGAAAGAGAAGTATGATCTAAATCAATTAAATATAAGATTCTTATTCTCAACTGAGACAGGAATTAAATACTTAATAGACTTTCTATCAGAAACTCAAGCAGCTATAAGAAAATGACTGAATTCAGAAATATCTGAATATGAAGAGAAGGAAATTGATCAGATATAGTCTGTTAAAACAGCTATATACTATCTTTCAATAATTTGTTTCATTACAGTCTCTCATTATTTTACTTTACTTTTTTCTTTCTATTCTTTTCTATCTATCTATTTAATGTGTCTATCTTTAAGACTGTGTTCTCTTTTCTTTTGTCATGTCAAATGATTTCAAAGTATCAGAAGATGTTAATATACTGTAATTTGTAAACAGTTTTTATATTCTGTGCTGAAATTTTCTGATTTTGTATATCTGAAATTGATGAATGTATAATAGTTAACTTTATAGATATAGGAAAAACTCTGAGAACTTTTAATTCTCAGGTAGATGTCATAGTCTCTGACTGCATACATCTATAATTAAAGAATAATAATAATAATAATAATAATAATCAGAATATTTCTACAATTCTTACTCTCAGAGAGATTAACAGTAAAGTTAATTATTATATCTTATTAGATTCTATCAGAGATATTAAGTGATTTTAACAGATCTTTTCTACAGTTCTTTTACAAGATGATAGAAGAATAATAATTGCAGTTTCAGATAAAATATCTGATACTGTTTAATATCTCAGATCAGTAGAACTGTTAAGAGATCATTTAATATAGTTATTTTCAATCTGAATAATCAGTTATACAAGAATCATGCACCTCTTATGTTATTCAGATACATAAGAATTCAGAGTGAGAGACTCAGTATTATTCACAGAATTACAGAGTATTATTATCATCAATTAAGCATTCTGAGATATCAGATCTTATACATAGTTCTGAGAGAAATCAGAGTGCTTCTTAATGTACTACTTTGATAAATGCTTGAAGAAGTTCATCAGTTTAAGCTGTTATATATCATAATTCATCTAGTATAGATTTGAAAGAAGTTGAGATATTAATAACAGTTCTAATTAAAGAAGTGTGTATAGTGTCATGAGTTATTTCATCTTAATCAACTAATATCTTCAGATTCAAGAGCTGATGTTCTCAGTTTATTCAACACATATCTGTTTTATTGAATAACATATCTTACTCTTATTATAAGAGAGTATCTGTCATTGAGTTCTGACTGCTGAGTAGACTAGCCGCTGAGATTATGAATTTCATATTTAATCTTATTTAATCTAATCTCATACATTTCTTGATGTGAATCTCACTGAAACTAGTCATTAAAAAAACATGTAAAGTGACTATATATCAGATCTTAAAATGAAATCATGACTTGAAAAAAATGAGAAAGTGATCTTATTTGATTTCATTTAGTCTCATTCTTGATATAAAGTTACTATTTTTAGACATTTTAAGGTTTTTTTTAGACTATTTTTAATTTTTTAAAAAGTAATGCTTTTTGATAATACTTAAATGAGATTTAAAGTCATTTAAAGCAATAAAAATAATTTAAATTGAGAAGTCAAAATCATGATCTCATTTGAAAAATGTGATAAGAGTAGACAGTAAGTCTCACTGAGACAGTATGAGACTACTATCTAATATTAAAACTGTGTAATGAGATCAGTTGAATTGATAATGAAACTATCAAAAAATCTGATTCTGATCTCAGACACGGTCACACGGTCAGTCTACAGAAGACTCAGCTATATATAATATGAGTAATTTCTTCATTATCACATTCTTCAAGTTCTTGATCAATAATTTAATATTAAGATGTTCACTATTATCTACAGATGTGAATCTGTCAATACGTGAAGATTCTATGTAAATTAAAACAAATATATCAGTATCTGCATTTATATATAATCAGAGAACACAATCAGATACCTGCTGAAAAAAGAAGATTGAAGATATATAAGAAGATAAAGAAGATATGTCATTTTTAATAGTATATTCTGATAATTATTAGAAGATAAACAAGTTCTGATCACATTTCACAATGTGTTACACTTACTGCTAATAAACTGTCTGATATGAGTATTACAGTGATACTAGACTGATCATATGACTAGACTGGCTGCCGGGACCATGAATTTCACATTTGGTCTCATTTGGTCTGATCTCATACATTTCTTGGCATGAATCCCGCTGGGACTGGCTATCAAAAAAACATGTAAAGTGACTATATATCAGATCTTAAAATGAAACCATGACTTGAAAAAAATGAGAAAGTGGTCTCATTTAATCTCATTTAGTCTCATTCTTGGCATAAAGTTACTATTTTTAGACATTTTAAGGTTTTTTTTAGACTATTTTTAATTTTTTAAAAAGTAACACTTTTTGATAATGCTTAAATGAGATTTAAAGTCATTTAAAGCAATAAAAATAATTTAAATTGAGAAGTGGAAATCATGATCTCATTTGAAAAATGTGATAAGAGTAGACAGTAAGTTTCACTGAAACAGTATGAAATCACTATCTAATATTAAAACTGTGTAATGAGATCAGTTGAATTGATAATGAAACTATCAAAAAATCTGGTTCTGGTTCCAGACACGGTCACACAGTCAGTCTACATATAACTGTGTCTGAGACCAGAATCAGAATTTTTAATAGTCTCATTATTAATTTAACAGATTTCATTACATAATTCTAATATTAGATAGTAGTTTCATACTGTCTCAGTGAAACTTACTGTCTACTCTTATCACATTTTTCAAATGAAATCATGATTTTCACTTCTCAATTTAATTTATTTTTATTACTTTAAATAACTTTAAATCTCATTTGAGCATTATTAAAAAGTATTACTTTTTAAAAAATTAAAAATAGTCTAAAAAAATCTTAAAATGTCTAAAAATAGTAACTTTATATTAAGAATGAGACTAAATGAGATCAAATGAAACCACTTTCTTATTTTTTTCAAGTCATGGTTTCATTTTGAGATCTGATATATAGTCACTTTACATGTTTATTTAATGATTAGTCTCAGTGAGATTCATGCTAAGAAATGTATGAGATCAGATAAAATGAGATCAAATGTGAAATTCATGATTCTGACGGCCAGTCTAAGTAATACTTGTTATGAGAATTAGAGATTATTATCAGAAATGTGTATAATATGATAGATAAATAGATTGAAAAGAGCTTAATAAAGAAGAAAGGTGTAGAAATCTTGAATAAGATAATAGTGTTTAATAATAATAATAATGAAGAAGATAATTAAAGAATGAAAAAAGTTAGTGAATAAGTAATATAATATAGTAAAAGTTTCTTTATGAGAGTGTAAGAAGAATGCTAGCTAGATCAGAAATAGACTGTATAATTATAAATACTAGCAGCGCACTAATCTGCAGAAAGCTAGAGCTTAAATCATAATTATATAAGTGTGACTGAATCTGATAAGAGAGAATGTAATTTGAAAGAATATATAACTGCTGAATAATAATACAGCTGCTTCTGAACATGCTTACAAATGTAAAGAAGTCATAGCAGTCACTAATTAATTTAGTATAATATAGACTGACCGCTGAAATCATAAATTTCATATTTAATTTCATTTAATCTGATCTCATACATTTCTTAGCATGAATTCTGCTGAGACTAATCATTAAAATAACATACAAAGTGACTATATATCAGATCTTAAAATAAGATCATGACTTGAAAAAAATGAGAAAGTGATTTCATTTAATCTCATTTAGTCTCATTCTTGGCATAAAGTTACTATTTTTAGACATTTTAAGGTTTTTTTAGACTATTTTTAATTTTTTAAAAAGTAATACTTTTTAGTAATACTCAAATGAGATTTAAAGTCATTTAAAGCAATAAAAATAATTTAAATTGAGAAGTGAAAATCATGATTCTATTTGAAAAATGTGACAAGAGTAGACAGTAAGTCTCACTGAAACAGTATGAGACTACTATCTAATGTTAAAACAGTGTAATGAAATCAGTTGAATTGATAATAAGACCATCAAATATTCTGGTCCTGGTCTCAGACACAGTCACACGGTCAGTCTAGTATAACATATATAAGAAGCCGGCGTACGCCTGTTGTTGAACGTCTGAGTGGTTGTATTGATAGCTATCTAGTGAGCGATATATGCTTAGTGCGGGGCGCTAGTCCGTACTAGGAAGCCTAGGGCTTCCACACCCCCCCTCGGACTAGCTACCGTGCAGTTATTCTATCTATCCTTCTCAAATCATTCAAATCCGCAATAATAATTAATTACAAAAAGCAGCACCTAGTTTCCTCATTAGGACTAGGCCTGATACATGAAATTACCGCACAGTAGTGCTCAAATCCTTCAAATCCATCACATTCATTGTATTCATTTGTATTCGTCTGTATTTGTTGTATTCATCATATTCATTTATCCCTCCCCCTTTCGGCGGTTGTGAGGTCTCAGCTTGTAGTAGTAGTGTGGATGAGTGATTCTTGCGGTGGCTCTTGTAGTGATTCTCATGGTGGTTCTCGCGGTGGTTCTCATGACAGTTCTTGCAGTTATTCTTGCAATGGTTCTCGCAGTGGTTCTCACAGTGAATGGAGGGTGGCTAGGAGCAATGGCAGTGGTAGGTGTAGTAGTTGTAGGAGTGGCAGTGGCACGCGTAGCCAGTTGATCCATCAAATCATCCCTCTGTTCAAAGATATCCATTTGATTCCATATTGACAAAGAATCGGAGTCTTCACCTAGTTTTTATATGAGTATTTCCATCAATCTGTCCTGTTTCTTCATGTATGTCATCATTCTCATCATCAAGGTGTATTCATTCATTTGACCTGGTTCATTTCTAGGCCCAGGGTATTCATTGTTTTCATTCATATCTGTGTTGCTTGTAGGTGTATCTTGCTCATATTCTTCATTCATATCCATGTTGCTTGCAGGTGTATCCAACAATCCTGCAGTAGCTTGCATTCTTGGAGGCATTTGTTTATCTCCTTGAATCAATCTTTTCCCGCGATCAAAGCTTTCAAAACAGTTGCTTTTCATCAGGATCCTTTTTTTTTCGCGATCAAAGCATCCTTGACCTCTCATCAGGATTCTGTTTTCCCCGCGATCGAAGCTCCCCTGGCTTCTCGTCAGGATCCAGCAGTTGATATAGGAGATGCCACTCCTTTTCCCCGCGATCAAGGCTTTCAAACAGTCACCTTACATCAGGATCCTTCTGCAGTTCAGCGATGCAGCTCGTGAGACATTTTATACCTCAGATAAATGAAAAAGTAGTAGTAGCGGAAGGTTTAAAAAAAAAAAAAAAAAACAAGCAATCCGGGCCATAACCTGTTGGACGTCTGAGTGGTTGTATTGATAGCTATCTAGTGGGCGATATATGCTTGGTGCGGGGCGCTAGTCCGTACTAGGAAGCCTAGGGCTCTCACACCTGTAATCATACGCTGACTCAAGTAGACTGACTGTGTGACCGTGTCTGAGATCAGAATCAAACTTTACAGTTATTATATTATCTAAAAGCATTACTTCTGATCATGATTTATATTCATTACATTGATTTCAAATCACATTATTTCAAATATTAAAGATCTCAGATTCACTTTTCAAATAAAAATCTAGTTTCAGATAAAGAATATATTTAAATTCTTAGTCATATTTTCATTCTGATCTCATTATTGAGAATAATATTAAATAAGATTATGAAATTATTTCTCACTTACATAATATTATAATATAGTGCTTATTTATTGAAAATTTAATAGAGAGTGTTATTAAATATTATTACTTTTCTGAATACAGATTATAATTTATATAATTTTAATTATAAAAAAATATAAAATACAAAAAAATAAAAACAAAAAAATAAAAAATAAAATAAAAACAAAAAAAAATGACAACAAAAAAAATAAAAAATAAAAATAAAAAAAATCAAGATCATAGAACTGTAACATTCTTAAAATACTTACTTCTCAGAGTCTTTACAATATTCATTATTAACTGTGTATCTCTTATAGTGAGAGTAATATATCTATAATAACTTAGTATTTTAATAATCAGCAGACACTGAAGCTGTATTTATATAGATAAAGAAGATATTTATTAATATCTCTCTACTAATAATATTTCACTCTGATTATAAAATAGTTATTAAAGCTGACTTCTCTGACTATATTATAGAGAGAGCTATATTATAATATAATAATGAAAATATCTTACAATTATACATCTTTATATCTAAGAAACTAAGTTCTGCTGAATATAACTATGAGATCTATAATAAGAAACTTCTTACAATAGTATACTATCTAGAAGAATGAGACTTTAAACTCTGAAATATCTTCAAATTTGAGATAATTACAGATTATAAGAATCTCAAGTATTTCACAATTATCTGTAAGCTTACTGAATAATAGATATAATAATCTGAGTTATTAAACTGTTTTTATTTCATAATACACTACTGCTCTGACAGTCAGAACTTAATAATAGATACTCTTTTATAATAAGAGTAAGATATATCTATATAATCATGAAAAGGTCAGCAACCGCTCCACCACGAACTCGCTCAATTTTTCGAATAAGAACCCGCCGATAGATCCATCGAAAAGCCCTCGATCATACGAGCATTCTGACCCCATCGCCGACCGCATACCCTGTGTGGTGGTGGAGTTATCCAGCCAAACGTGAACCGGACGTTGTTCGAAACTCCTGTGTGGGAGTATCCCCCGTTCTCCCCTACCACACCACAACCCCGGGCCAAAGTGCCATACAAATTGTAAGGTGAAGAGACCTAGCCATATGCACCAATCTTCTCGATTTTGGAAGATCCCCGATCTGTAGTTGTGGAGATATCTGAGGAGCGACCTCCGCGAAAACCCTGTCCATCTTTGATGTTCCAAAACACCAACGCCAAGTCCCACCGTTGTACCGCCCTTCCTAATCTGGCCCATCCCCGGCAGAAAAATACAAAAAGATACCTCGGCGATAATATCAAGCACATAACCAACGGCCACTTCTGAAGTGCAACCTCCGCGGTCTGTCTTCAGTGTATCTGGACATCAACACCAAGTCTCGCCCTCGTACCACCCCTCTCAATCTGGCCCATCCCCGACAGAAAAGTACAAAAAGATACCTCAGCAACTGTACTCAATACATAATCAGCAGACACGACAACTATAAAATCAGTATACTCCAAGGTCTGACTGAGCCTTTGATCCCTGCACAGTGAGATATATTAAATCTAGTTTTAATATCTCAATATTCAATAGATTCTGCAAGAGATTGAGAACAGCAACACTAGGTTTCTATTGAATTTGAGAATTAACTCTATATTGATATAATCATTGACAAAGTCTTCTATTTTGAGATATAAATAACCAGTTCCTCTACATCCTGCTGACAATATTTATATTATTATATAGAAACAGACTTATATTCTCTATAATATCAAGACTCTGAAGAGGGAAAGTCTTGATAGAGAGTATACAGTAGTGTATATCTTAGCAGTTTCTATCTCATTCTTCTGCAGCAGTTAATGCAAAAAAAAGATTTTAGAAATAGTTTTTTACTTCTCTTAAAAAAGTAAGGTGTTTTTCTCTGGGTTTTACACAATATTCTTACAAAGAATTAAAAACAGAGTTGTTTTCTGTCATAATTTCATATTCTTTTAAGTAAGAATTACTTTTTCAGTGACTGAAGAGCTTTCATTAATACTTAATTTCTTTTTACACTCTTTATTAACTGATTTGAGTTGCACACCTGTTGTGTGAGAAGAATTGAATAATTTAGAATAAAATTGAATAGTTTTAATCAATTTCTCTTTAAAAAATTGATTTATTTTTTGTCAGTTTTTCTCTCAAAAACTGTCATATCATCTGATTTACTATCAATTGATATCATACTTTTCCTCATTGTATCCCAAGAAAGAGATTGTAAAGATTTTATTGATTTATCTTAAAAATCAATTTTAGTTTATTAGATTCTCTTCAAAAATCTAACCTAGTTACTGAACTAGTGTGAAAAAAATCAGGTGTTTTATACACAAAAGTCTGCGATTCTTCTTTTGAAATAGTCTGACCAACTTTTCAATTGAAAACAGACTTAGAAACCTCTTAATTGAAACAGTCTGATCAACTTTTCAATTCAAAAAGAGTTTAATAAATATCTCAATTGAATTAGTCTGACCAACTTTTCATTGAGTAAGAACAATGAGTTCAAAAGTACACTCAGTTGATGTGGAGAAAGATGCTTTCTCAAATACTATTTCTGAGATTGAAATTCTGAAGAGAAGAAAGAAAGAAGAGATAGAGAAACAACAAGTTCTTGAAATACAGAAACTTGAAAAAGCAAGTAAAATTCTTGAAAAGCAGTGTCTGAGTGAGATGAATGAAGAAGTTCTGTTAATTCTTCATACTCAGGCTAGACAACTACAGAAAGTGATCAAGTTCAAACTTGGAATTTCAAACACAGTTCAAAAAACTTTGAAAATTTCTAATACAATCACTGACTCTTCAGTTTGCTCTTCTTTCTTTTCTACTTCTTCTTCTTCTTCTTCTTTGAATCAGAAGAAAATATATGCTCAAGCAGCTGAATCTGCTGCCTCTAAACCTGCTGTCTCTAAACCTGCTGTCTCAAAACCTGCTCAAAACCCTGAGAAAACTGAGAAGAATACTGCTCATGTCTCTATTCATAGAAAAGTGAAAAAGAAAATGCAAAAAGAGAAAAACTTTCAAATCTTCAGAAATAGAAGACTTATTCTCAAAGTCTCAAATCAGGACATTCTGCAAAGAAACAAGCTAAACTCAAATCTCATTTTCAGAATCAGAAATGAAATTAATCAGCAGTTCTTTTCTCAGTTGATGACTGATATTGAAGTTCAAAAATCAGTTATAGCTTCAATTGAATCATCATTCTTTGAAAACTTCATTATTCTGACTACAATGCCTGAATTCAGTGCTGAATTTCTTATTCAGAATGAGAATCTCTGAAAGTCAGCAGTAGAATCTTTGTTAAACACAACAATTCTATCTGAAAGAGATGAAAAGTGGAACAAATTCATTCTTTATAATATTTCAGTTGAAATTTTTGACTGTGAAGAAGAAATGCTACTTCTCAAAAATGAATTGAAAGAATACAACTCTATTCAACTGAGAAAGAAGCCTGTATGACTAAATTCAATTGAGTTCAGACAAAGCAGGAGAAATGCCTCTGTTCTAGTATATACAAAAACACTTGAACAGTCAAAGATCTCTGAAGTAAGAGTAGCAGGTTTGAAAATGAGAGTTCATGAATACAAAGACTCAAGAATGAACCTCAAAGCTCAAACACAGTGTTCAAACTGTCAAAGATATGAACACTTTGCAATCTCATGTTTTAGAGACTCAAAATATGCATTCTGTGCCAGAGATCATAAAACTAGTGAGCATAAATGTGAAACATGCTCAAAAAGAGGTGAAATTTGTCAACATACTCTGCTTAAGTGCTCTAATTGCAAAGAAAAACATGCATCTAGCTCAAAAGAATGTATATTTGCTTCTAGAACTCAAAAGAACTGAAGAAAAGATGAAGCTCAAAGTCAATCTAGAACTGAAGAGAAGAGTCAAGCCAGTAAACTCACAACTGCAAGCTCAAAAAGAAGAAACTCTCAACTATCTAGATCTTCAAACTTCAACTCTTCAGCTAAATGTAAACAGAACTTGAATCCTCAAACTTCTGTTAAGATTAGAGAATTGAGAAATGACTCTGATGATAAACTAGATATAATGCAAGCAGTTGAGATTTCTACTTTTCAGAACAGTTATAATCTACTATCTGATGATAGTGATTAGATTCTACTCTACTCTCTTTTAGTATGAATATACAACAAAAACAACAAAAAAAGTTTAAAAACTCTTCAAAAATCACATTTATTCAAAATAATATGAATAGAAACTTAAATTGTATTTATTCTTGTCTTCAAATTGCATTTGAATAAAAAGTTGATTTTATACTGCTTCAGAAGCCGAATTTTGATGCTGAGCAAAAATATGTTATTTCTCATTCAAGCTACTACTACTTTTTATCTCAAAAGTCTGAGATAAAGTCAAGAGTAGTGATCTATGAAAGAAAGAGATCAAGATATTAATTTAATCTAAGATTTAATATCATGTCTGACCCTGATATTCTGATGAGTGATATTATAGATAAAGAAAATGAGTTTGATACTATACAGCTCATAAATATCTATAATGAAAAGTCATTGAAGAAAAATAACAATATCTGAACAATTGATAGAGGATTTCTGAACATAACTTCATCAAGAAACTCTATAATTGCAGGAGATTTCAATGCACATCATCTCTGATGAAATTCAGAATACAAGAGAGCAGTGAGAGCTGATAATCTGATTAAATGAACCTTTGAGCATTCAATAGATTTGGTTAATAAGTCTGATCAATAAACATTCTTTAGAAAAGACATGAAACAGAAGTCTATTATAGATCTAATCTTCATATCACAAAATCTAATGAAAAGAAGACTTGTAAACTGATTTATTGATTCAAATAAGACATCAGAATCAGATCATGAGATTATTCAATTTGATATTGAACTGAGTGAAAAACAAATGAGTGAAAATCCTCTTCTCTTTAATCAGTATAACTTTGAAAAAGCTGATTGAAAAGCAGTTGAAGAAAGTATAAAACTGCTAAAATCTGAAAGACAGAATGAGCTATATTGAAATTCTGGTCAAGATATCTTAAATGAAATGCTTGAGAATAGAGTGAAGCTTATTACATCTATTATTCTAACAAGTGTTAGAGATAATATTTCAAAAAGAAAATCTTCTTAGTATTCAAAACCTTGATGAAATGAGAATATCTCATCTAAAAGGAAAGAATTAGCTACTGCTAGAAGAGATTGAAAAAATAATATAATATCTGATGAAGAGTTCAAAGCTGTCAGAAATGAATATTTTTCAGATATCAAAAGAGCTAAAACAGACTGCTGGAATAAATTTCTTGAAGAAGCACAAGAGAAGGAAATTTTTAAAGCTTTTAACTATATTAAAACAAGAAGTGTAGCAAAACTTCCAGCCTTAGAATATGAGTTTCAGAATGAATCATATACAGCAAACTCTTTTGAGAAAAAATGTCAAGCTTTCATGAGAATTCTCTTTCAGAACTCATCAGACTCAGATTCAGATTCAGAGAAAGAGAATATATCACTTCTCAACTACATTGATGAAAATGACTGAGAATGGCCTGATCTTACATAAGATGAATTAGAGTCAGCTATCTTCTCAAGTTCTGTTAAAACTGCTGCAGGTCCTGATTCAATTAATCACTTAATTATTCAAAATACATATTCCTACTTAAAGAATGAATATTTTAAGCTCTTTTTCAATCTCTTGAAAAATGAATATCATTCTGAATGCTGAAGAGAAGCCACTGAAGTGATTCTTGCAAAACCTAATAGAAAAACTTCAATTTCTAAGTCATATAGAGTAATATCTCTATTGAACTGTTTAGAAAAGATTTTAGAAAAGATAATAGCTACTCAACTATCTTTTATAAGCTCTATAGATGATTCTCTTTTATTCAGTGAACAAATGAGAGATAGAAAACAGTGTTCTGTAATTGACACTGTTCTCTCAGTTGTTCATGATATTCAAATAGTAAAACATGAGAGTCTGGTCTCAACTGCAGTTTTTATTGATATAAAGAGAGCATTTGATCATGTTTCAAAGTCAAAGTTAATTCAGACATTGAAGATATTAAAACTGTCACTTTCTCTAATAAAATGAGTTAACTGTTTTATGTCTAAAAGAATTATACAACTCTTCTTTGATAGAATGAAACAAGACAAGACTGAGATAAAAATAGAAGTACCACAGAGATCTTCAATCTCACTCATTTTATTTGCAATATACACTGCATATCTATTAAAAAATAGAAATATGAGAATAGTGCAATCTCTGAGTTATATGGATGATATTGATCTAGTCTACAGCTCAAAAACTATCAAAGAGAATTTGAAAGTAATTGAAAAAGCTGCAAAGGAAATCTTTGTTAGAGCAGATATCAATCAAATTCAATTTAATATGAATAAAACTGAGTTAATTCATTTCTTTTCTAGACTCAATGAGAAAGAACTATCTCTAACTCTTTTAAATAGAGAGATTAAACCCAGTGTAAATGTCAAATGATTAGAAGTATGGTTAAACTCCAAGTTGAATTTTAAATATCATATTCAACAAAGAACTGTCAAGGCAGAAAGACTATTGAACAACATAATCAGACTATTAAATACAGAGAGAGATCTATTCTTCCAGGCTATGAGACAGTTATATATTGTTGGCCCTTACGGCCGTTGCGGTTAGCGATCCCACTAGATCACGTGACCCACCACTATATTATGTTCCTGTAGATAGATCTATCAATACAACCTTCAACTATTCTACAGGTTATAGCCCGGATGGCATGTTTTTCTTTTTAGAACATTGTACCAACATATTTTTAACATGGATAGTTCACCCTTTTTGAAAAGACTCTTACTCTTTATTAGAGATATTTCATTTTCCCTGAATCTGCCAGTCAGTGAATTCATATACTTTATATTTTTGAGAAAGCACATTCTTCATTGTGAAGAATATCACTTTTTATTTTTTTTTACACACCTAGAAGAAGCAGAGCCACCTTGATATGAGTGATACACCTGTTACTCCAGAGTTCAGCTCAAGGCCCAGGATCACACACTTCACTAGATGACTCATTGATAGAATGACCACTCATTATGAGGAAGCTCCTGACTTACAAGATGAGGCTGAGGTCAGTTTTTGCCAGAGTATGGAATTTGATGATGATGAGATAACAGAGGAACTTCAGAACAAAGGAAAGCAGAGTTAACATTCATCTGCAGAATCTGTTCATTTTAACCCTTCAAATTCTTCATCATTTCTCACCCCCGAAATGCTGACTTTTAATGATGATCTGAATCAACCTATCTATTGCACCGCAGACAATCTTATGAATCTTATACAGATGATGCTACAGAACCAGATGGCTGCAGCTGAAACCACTCAACATCTCACTACATCTGTCCCTGCATAAAGAGACACTACAAGGGATGAGTTACAGGAATACCAGAAGGAAGTCAAATATGCACTAGATATCAAATCAGTGACCACATTTGATGGCTCTAATTATAAAGCCTGGTGTGTTGATATGTTGACTGATGCAGAAGTTATTGATGAAACTGACATTCTATTGAGAACTCAATGAGAATCCCCTTTTACACATCATATCAACTCTGAGAAGTGGAGGATCCGTTCCAAGTCTCTATATAGATGTATGCTATTGAGTCTTGTTGAAAACATTTGAATCACTATTGAAACCTTGAAAGCTGACAATGCTGCGGCTCTGTGGGACAAGATCAACATTGAATATATGATATCACTGGCAGAAGAATGAGTTAATGTCTTCAAGAAATTGACAAAATTACAAGTCAAGAAGAATGATTATCTTACTTTTCAGAGATGTTTTCACTATCTTATTGCCTGTCACAAGGAGCTCTGTCAGAGCACTGAGAATGTATATCATGATCTTTTCCTCAACAACCTGCAGGATTATCAAAGATCATTTATCAAGACATATTTGAATGAGTTTTTCTCCACTGGCCAGGGACTCATTGTCAACATTGATATTGATGATTTGATGAAGCAACTGACCAATCATACATTCAAGAAGATCACCACTGAGTGGAAAAAGCAGCCTCAGGCCAATTCTGTGACTGCAAAAAAGGACAAAGATAAGGACAAAGATAAGGACAAAGATGAGGACAAAAGCACATCTGTATAAAAGTGCACTCACTGCAGAAGATATGAACATACTGTTGATAGGTGTTTCATCTTACACTCTGATAAAAAGAAAAAGAAGGATGACAAGAAGAATGACAAGAAGAAAGAGAAGAAGAATGACTTAATGAGTTCTCAATCAGCAGTGAATGCAGCAATTACAAAGATTGAGTTCTACTTCTTCTTCACAGTCACTGGAAAACCATCCTCTAGATCTTGATATTTGAACACATGTGCAAGCCTGAATATGACAGATGAGCTTTATTCTTTTTCAAATATCAAATCTTTTAATGATAATATCTCTGTTGATTCTGCAACTGAGGGAACTGGGTTTGTCAAGAAGATTGAGACTGTTATCTTAAAGATTGAGAGTGATGATGTTAACTTGCAGAATGTTCACTATATTTCTAATATTATAGTTAACCTGCTCTCATTTGCAAAGCTTGAAGATCAGGGATTCTGATTTACATTGTCTTTCACTATTCCCTCATTTTTCATTTGCAGAGCTCTGAACAGCATTATTTTCCATGCAGTTCAGACTGCCCAGAACAACATATATAAGGTCAATGAACAGGAGTTCAATGAGGATCCCAATCATCTGAACAAGACAGTCAAGTATATTGTGATGTCACACAAGTACAATTTTGACTGAAAAGTTGATCTTTCTGTGACTACTGTTACTACTGTTAATAACATTGATTCTACAGTCCCGAATACAGGCCTCAAGAATACAAGGATATCAAAGACTCTTTTGAACTGGCACTGTGACCTCGGTCACATTCACACTGATGCTATAATTGCTATGGCCAAGGATCCTCATACTGAAGTCACAATTAAAGGTTCTAAGACTAAGTTCTTTTGTGAGGAATGTGTCAAGGCTGGTATAATGCAAGATTATTTGAAAACACTGATGCCTAGATCTATTCAACTCATTGAGAAGATTCATATTAACCTTGCAGATGATGAACATACATTGAAAGACCTCTCTGACCACTCCTTAGAGTCCCGCCAGGGGATGAAATACTGAATGCTTATCATCTGTGATGCGACCCGCTACTATTGAGTGTATTTTTTAAAGTTCAAGAATGAGGCTGTTCAATACTTTGAGTTGTGACTCAGATTCATGAGTAATCTCAGGTATACAGTCTCTGCTTTTCTACAGACCAATATTGATGATGTTTTTCAATTCACATGTATGCACACAGTTATGAATTCATATGGTATCAAATGGGAATCAACAGTATCACATTCATCACACCAGGATGATGTTTCTGAATGTGAGATCCGCACTATCATGGGATGAGTTAGAGCTGCTCTTTTGAAAGAAAATCTTCCTAAGAAGTTCTGAGCAGATGTTCTAGAGACAGTGATTGTAATAATTAATAATACTCTCACATCTATGGTTCTTTATAACTTGAAATTTTGATCCTCTACTGCAGAGACTTCTGTGATTTCAAGTTCACATAAGATTTCTTGATGTGCACTTATGAATATCTCACTGAATGTAAGGCATTTTCACTGATTGAGTGCAGAGGTTTTTGTTCACTTACATGAATCTCAGTAGCTCATGAATAAGCTTTCTTCACATGCTGATTCCTATCATATCATTGAATTCAGTGGCACATCAATATATCGCCTATGACATCCTGAATCTGACAAGATTATTGTCAGTAGTGATGTGAGATTCCTGATCATCAAAAAACCAGTTGTCACATCTGTGGCACCCATTAATAATGCCGGCGAACTGGAACCAGAACTGGAACCTGATATTCATCTGATTGATGATGAAGATGCTCCCAATATTGATGATCCGAATTCCACATGGTTGCGGCCTGCGAAATCGCTGGCTACTTACACTTCAAGCCCCGTTACAGGTAACCTCCTGAAGTCCTACCAGGATGCCGCATCACGGCCAGGGGGGGTAGGAGATTATTGGAAGAAGTCCATGCAACGCGAGATTACTGACCTGGAGAGATGCAATACATGGAGTTTGATCCCTAGATCTGATGTCCCGAGGGGTGAACTGATTGCTCCAGACTGTTAAGTGTTCCTTGAGAAAGATAGGCCTGCGGACCTGAATGCTGATCCTGATGATATTCTTAGGAAATCACATTGAGTGATTTATGATAACTGACTTAAGAAGGATTCTAGAGAAGAGACCTATGCTCCTGTCATCACTGATACTATCAATCATATTCTTTTTACAATAGCAGCACTACGCAGTTGAACACTCTGTCAGATGAATATAGTGATAGCATATCTTCATAAGCATCTCACTAAGAAGGTCTATATGAGACAATTCACTGGATTTGAGACAGATTCACTGAAAACACTTGTCTGCACAGTTGAGGATAGTCTATATGACCTGGACCCTGCAGTGAAGATCTGATATGATTACTTGATAGCTCTGTTGAGTGATCTTGGATTTACAGTCAGCGCTCATGATTCAGCACTCTGGTATTATACATTCAGATGTCACCTCTATATGATGATCTATGTTGACAATCTCAACATCATATCTGAAGCTTCTGAGAATGCTGATTGACTAGTGAGTATGCTCAGTGAGAAATTGAAAGTCAAGGATCTATGTCAGTCAATCAAGTATTTAAGTATGAAGATTAATTGTTCAGATAAGAGAATTGATTTGATATATTATTAATATATCAAATGCCTTGTTGAAGATTTCTATCTTGATAATACAGCTGTCACCAGAATATCAATGAAGGATGGATTCTGTATTGATGATTCCTCTATACCTGAGAAAGAGGCTGGTTTCACAATTTGATGATACCAACATGGTGTGGGTTGCTTGCAATATCTTGCAGTTAAAACATGTCCTGATATCGCTCGCGCTGCCTCACTACTCGCTCAACAGAACATTGATCCAACACCTCAATGTTGGAAGGCCCTATTACACATTATACATTATTTGAAAGGGACCATGGATCTGGGCATTTTCTACAGATGCGGCCCGTATGAGGGGTCTGTTTCGTCCATTCCTTCTGTTTCTTCCATTCCTACCGTTCCTACTGTTCCTACTGATCCCTCTGTTATCCCTGATTTCCCTGATGATTCCTACCTACCCTTCAGCTACTCGGATTCCGATTGGGCCGGCCCCTTGAATGATGATAGGAAATCAACATCCAGCTATGTTTTTAAGCTTGCAGACAGCCCGATTTCATGGTATTCAGTGAAGCAACCTTGTGTATCTCTAAGTTTCAATGAGGCTGAATATGTGACTCTTAGTGAGGCGGTCCACGAAGCAACATGGATCCAGAACCTCATGATTGAGCTCAGCTTCATCACTACATCTTCAATATGGATCCTCGCTGATAATAAGAATGCCATAGATCTCACAAAGATGGCAGTCATTACAGTCTGAAGCAAGCACATTGACACATGTTTCCATTTTTCATGTTGACAGTTGAATCAGAGGGTCATTGATTTAGAATATGTTTTCACTGCTCAGATGGCGGCGGATGAACTCACTAAACCCCTAGACAATGTGACATTTGCATGATTCATGGTTTTGCTAGGTCTTACAGGCATAAAAGTTGGGAATGTTTAATTTTACATTTGTATTTGGTTTTGACAGACTATCTTGGTGGTTTGAGTGTTTTTGTATGTGATTCTTGTTATCTTGAGGGGGGGTGTTGGCTCTTACAGCTGTTGCGGTTAGCGATCTCACTAGATCACGTGACCCACCACTATATTATGTTCCTGTAGATAGATCTATCAATACAACCTTCAACTATTCTACATATATAGCCTGTATTACATCAGTAGCTGATTATGAAGTTCAAGTTTGATGAAATAATCAAGGGAATTTCACTGAACTCTTTCAAAGTCTGTAAAACAGAGCCTTGAGAAGAATTCTGAAAGCATTCAAATCATCTTCTATTAAAGCAATGAAAATTGAAGCTTCAATTCCTTCTTCTGCTATTAGATTTGAAAAGGCCTGTATGAACTATGCTCTGAGAGTTGTAAAGATGAGCTTAAATCATATAATCAGAGAAAGAGTCTCTTCTTCATTTTCATCAATTAACTCTGGAAATGAACTGGATTGAAATAGATTTCTTAATTGAAATGAAAATAATTCTTCAAAGAAAATGTCTTCTCAACTGTACAGACTATGCTCTCTGATTAAAAATCAATTTTCTTCTTTAAATGTTGAAAAAGTTGATCATGAGAAGTTATCTCTCTGAAGAGAAAAGCTTGAATCTCTTATAGACTTACAAATAAGTGAACTATCAAAAGAGAAAGAATATGAACAGCATTTGAAGAGAATTTCTACAATTAATATAAAAGACTCTATTCTGGTTTATTCAGATGACTCAAAAAATGAGAACTTGAATAGATTAGGCACAGGCATTGCTTATACTGAAGATAATATTAATTTTATCTCAGATTTCTGGAATCTAGGCTCTGAATGTGAAGTCTTTGATGCTGAACTATTTGTAATAGTGAAAGCTTTCAAACTCATTGAAATAAAATCTCATAAAAGAGGAAATTGTTTGAAAGAGGCATGAATATTCTCTGATAGTCAAGCTGCTTTAAAAAGACTTAGAAATAGTCAGATTCATAATGATTAAATGAATCTTGAACTGATCTTAAACTCTGTTTTGAAAATTCAAAAGAGAAGAATATCAAAGCTGATAATTCATCTGCACTAAGTTTCTGCTCACATGAATATTCATGATAATGAATTGGCTGATTCAGCTGCAAAAAAGAGTGCAGAATTAAGCAGATCTATTCAAAAAACTGTGTTCTGATCTTTTATAAAGAGAAAAATAAAAGAATCTTGTTTAGATAAGTGAAATGAAAGCTGGCAGAAACAAAAGAAGAGTATACATTATTCAAGATTTGAAACAAAACCCAAGTGAAAATCTTGTTCAATTAAATATAAAAAGAAAATATTCTCATCTATAATACAGCTGAAACTAGGACATGGCTATTTCAAATCTTATATACAAAGATTTGATGATAGATTTGACTCAATAGAAT